GTAATATTACTCTGTTTCAATATATGGAAAATACCAGCAGGTTAACCAAACTTTAACCCAAACTTTTAAATCAAGTTACCAAATATGGTCACTTTAAATCTCCTTCCAAATAAGCCCAGCGCCTCCCGTTTTGTGTCTGAGGCTACCTTATCATGCCTCTGCCAATCTCCAATCATCTGCCCATTCGTACCCTGCCAAGCCCAACAATTAATGTATGAGCATTTAAATTCAACTTTTGACGCGGACAATTAAATTGATGATCTTTCCGCATTTTTTTGAAAATTTGGAAGAAGTATTTGCAATTTAATTTGCAGCTTAGTAATTGGCAAAATGCAACTTGATGGTTTCCCATTGCAATTGAATTTTTAAATTTAAAAAATTCAATTTCGTTTTGCTTTGTGACCGCATTCAATGTAATTCAATTACAGTGAATGTATGAAATTCATTGAATTTCATTACATTCAATGTATTCTATTTCCATCAATATCGTGCACAATTTTGAAAAACATAAGGAAGTAAATTAATCTCATAAATCTCCATACTTTCTCGTATTGGTTCCCGAAATTCAAATTCATGCATGTATCTATTTTTCCTCCCAAAGGGTTAACCGGGCATAAATTCTGCAATTTCTGAATTCTGTTATTCCCTATTCTAAACCCTTAATTCAAATAGTAGGTAAGACTTCTATTTCACTCTCGTTTCAAAATATGGAAAACTATTTGCAGATTTTCAATTAAATTTAAATTCCCCATTTACAAAATATAATTTCAATTTTTCATCCAATCTTTTCCGCTCTCCCATCAATTCCTTCCTATTTTCCCATTTAAAATGAAATTCCAGGTCCGAGGACATCCCAACACGATAAGTATCCTGTATACGCACCCCAAAAGTCCCTCTGTATTCGTATTTGTGGACCCCAGGGGGGACTTCTGACGGGTGTCTGTGCTCGTCAGAAGTCCTATGGGATTTCGCGCTCCTAGAGGGATTGTTCCTGAGCGCCCCACCGCTGAGCTCGCGGTGTCTGACTGCAGGTCTCAGTTGTGGGGTTTAGTTATTATGTAGGTTTCCGCCCCTTGTGGGTGATGAATAATTGAGACCTTCCACCTCTATGGTGATGTTCATCTTGACTTTCGGTGCGAGATAGCTAAATAGCTGAAGCGCTAGTAAACATTTGGCCACTAAACTAACAAACTCGTATTTGTGGTGCCAGTCTTCTAAAGCACACACCCCCAAACCCGTCTACTTGACGAATTTATGGAAGATTAGTCCGTATTACGAGCAAATTGCTACCTCTGATAAATTTAAGGCTTCATTGGTGAGAAAGTTATTTCGGGATGATTTTTGTTCAATTTTACCAAACTATCTCCAGGTATAGTTTTTACATACATTACAAATGAGCATCACATTTTAATGACGAATAAAAAATATTTTTTTCTGGGAAAATTTCTTGATTGGAACAGTTACAAATTGAATTTACGGGTATTATGGCTACAATTATTTTGATTGTATTGTTTCAAAAAAAAAACATTAAACATAAAGGTCAGCCTGAATCACGAGCCTCATATTTTTACAGGTAGCCTTCAGTTTGCTAGACAACGGGAGGATAGATAAATAACTTAGATCGCAACCCATGGTGATTTACAAACCGAACCAAACTTTATTTACCATGCACAACAATAAAGACAACTTACAAGATAGTCGGAATCTTCAAAGTTATAAAAATATTTGATCAGATCAGTTTGTGTGGAGTTCTCGTTCAAATATACCGAATAATAAGTGCAACGATACGTTTTCACAACATGCATTATGATAATAAAGGTTGCTCTTTGTATCACGTATCTATAAGTACTGAACATCATTTCATCGTCGGTCGATAAGATCAATTCATTGGATGAATGTCTTAGTAAACGTGTCTTCTTCAAGGCGCATTTCTATAAGACCGATTATTCTTCAAAAAAAATATCGTCGAGCAAAATATTTCGAATTGTTAGTGCCAACAACTTTTCGGAAGATCGACTTTCAAATGAAATTATAAGTTATATTAACGCTTTTTTCCTGTCAGAATAGATATTCGGATTAAAACGAATTCGTTTACATAGAAGCAACTTCAGTAACCGAAGATGTAGATCAAAATAAATAAAAAATCGCTTCCGCAGTTGTTTTTGTCTGCTGAACTGATTTACTCATCCCTTCGTGTTGGCGGGCAGTGAAGATTAGCTTTATTATTGAGAGCGCGATGATTAACTGCAGAGTGCGCACTTGCTCGCACGAATTTTTCAGACGATTGTTGCTGTTGTAAGATTAGGAGAGAAATTTGAACAATAGTTTAGTTGATTCCCAGAACACTTTAATGATAACAATAGTTTAGTTGATTCCCAGAACACTTTAATAATGAGATAAGCCATGAACGTTCGAAATCAGCTGGCTTGGATCACAGAACAGCCTTATAATGTGCATAGAAACTAAAGTGCATTAAATTCTTCCTTAGTAAATAAGCACGGCATCAGGAACGATAACTACAAAAACGGAATTAAGGCTAATTGGAAATATCATCATCACGCACTTCTGAGTCTCCACACTTTATTTATGATAGAACGCGGAGCATGTGTCATGTAGATGAAGCAATAAAACTTTGAACGCGAAAATATGTAAATTTAATTCAATAAATAAATAACAATTACTAACGATTCACTTTAAATGTTGATAAAAAAGGAATGTTATGAACAGATTTTCATACTTATAATGGTCTTGAATAAATCTAACGGGCAATATTCCCGGCCAGTTGCAGTATCAAATAATACGAGTTCGGACAGCATGGAAAAAATCTGATATAATTTTTGTCGTCAAAAAATAACTTAATGCAAGAAAATTTTCGGCGACAGAGTTCAAGAATATTTTAAATGAAGAGCACAGAAAAATTACTGGACATTTCATAACAAATGATCACATAAACGCATATTTTGTATCGCCGATGAATCTTGGGGGTAATATTTACGTCGGAGTGACAATCGAAATATTATCCGAAAATTAAAGCTAATGAATAAGTAATATATAAAGGCGATAATAAGTTAGTTAGTTAGTTTAGTGGCCAAATGTTTACTAGCGCTTCAGCTATTTAGCTATCTTGCACCGAAAGTCAAGATGAACATCACCATAGAGGTGGAAGGTCTCAATTATTCATCACCCACAAGGGGCGGAAGGTCTCAGATGTCCAGCCCGCTGAAGCTGGCTCGAAAGAAGCAGCGTTAGCATCTCAAAGAGACGAAGTGACGAGGAGGGACAGGTGATCTTGCAGATATGTGCGTCTCGAGCGATTGTTGCGCTGGATTCTTAACGAGTGAATAAATGACACATCAGAGTGTAGAGTGTATATGATGTGAACGTAAAAGTACTGATTACACTAATTAATTATTCTCGTATTCACGAAATGAGATGAGATTAAATTATCACTTAGAAATGTCCTGCAAAAAGCTCACATTGCTGCATGGGATGAATCATATCCTAAATTTTATGATTTTTGGTCTGCAGCAAATTGGCTGTTCTGGATCACGGATTATCATAATTATATATGAACGTATCACTAAGATGCAGGAATGTATCATTTTATACGAGACACAAGCGTACGTTGCATATGACATGATGACGTGCAATGCAAGTTTTTGAACCTATTTCGTAAATCATCTGTCCGCTTTCTAAAGGAGAACTAAAGAAATCATTCCATGAGTTACGTTTTTTGAAAAATAAAAAAGTTTTGTCAGTTTCCAAATTTGTTACTAGAGGTTTGAAAATTATTTACGGGTCAGTTATAAAGTACTGAAAAGCTACTGGGTGGATTTGTATTGCGTATACATGAAGATGTCAATGTAGCAGCCATATTGCTACCAATTTACACTTCTTAAAAAATAAGTGATATATACAAAATATTTTACATTGCAACTTTACATTAGAATCAGTATATTAGTATTATCCTACCCGTGATTCATACACATAATATAACTAAAACATGCCAACCAAATAAATCGGAAATTAGGCATTCTTGTGTTTGGAATCAATGTTAAAAATTCCTTCGGCCGCCAAGATATTTTGTGTACTGTGGAGGTTTTCAAGTTAATAAGAACTTAGGAATTACGGGCGATAATTGTCTCTTGCAGCTCCAAAATTTGTTATCCAATAAAATTCCTTGTAAAATAGGGTTATATACAAGTATTTATCAAAATACATCACAGCTATGGCGTCATTCAATTAAATTATAATAAATAATCGAGCGTTGATTTTTCCAGGCCTCATGCATTGTTTCCGCGGATGAAAGGTATCTAGTTCATGAATAATTTTTTTTAATTAGAGTTTTCTCGAACATGTTCTTATAAATACACAAAAAATTATATATCATTTCCGTTATATTTATATTATTGCTCAATATCATGAATTTATACTAAAATCATTTGGCGAGAAATTATCTACCGTTGACTTTTCCTCACAATGTATGTTGGCACTACGATGTCAGCGCACGAATAAAATTTAACAATGAAGTATATGACGCGTGAATTACATTTATTTCCGTATATATTGAGAACAATATAATATCGATAGGGGAACAAAACTCTACTTTTAAATTAACTCTTTAGCAGCAGCTACCTTGTGAGTGGCAAATACTATATGGAGTGCATACCACATTGATGAAATTTATTCATTAAAGAACATGACAGGTGACCATAACCTCCACCTGGGCATAGCCAATTATTAAATTGAAAATAATTGAAATTAAACCCAATATATTTGCCCATTGGGAGGAATGAGCTTCAAATGAAAACTAAAATCGCATTTATATGAAGGCGACAGATTTGTCCAGCTAGACGATAAATTGCTAAGGTTTTCATTATTCAAAAATTTTGGAAATTCCGTACGAAAATATCACGAGCACATTCAGGTAAAGAAGGCGAAAAGACAAACTTCGATATTTTCAATGATTTATTGCAGAAAACAATGACACAGTATGTATAACAAACAATGCTTGAAGTGGATTATTGAGGCGATGACGGAGCGTCATGGTCATTATGCGTCTAACACAACACAAGACTACGTTAATAACTGCACTCTCAATCACTTTAAAGCATCATCTTCATTACATTCATTCACACGCGCACTCTTCAACAAGTAAGTTAAAAAATTATTAAATAAAATTAAATAAAGGAATAAGTAAATTAAAGAAAATAAATACAGAGAAATTGGGCACCTGCAGCATGGAGACAAAAATTGTTAAACAGGTAGCAAAATGAACAGGAGTTAATTTAAAATAAAGATAATTACTAAATTTTTCGCAATTGTATCGCTTAATTTTGATATTAAATAAAATCAGTGCATGATATGCTGGTCAGTATGAGAGGACGTGGCTTATTTATCATCTCGATCTCAGCAGCCAGTGGATGGCAGAAGACCTGGAACATTTAACTGGAACATTTGAATTGTTTAATTAGGATATTGTTTACAAATTTGTTAGCAAAAACATTTATCCAATCGCTGAAGGTAATCCATCATACCTGCAAGAAAAAATCAATTAGAAAAGTATCATGTATAGGTGTCTGGAATACTAAAATGCGTACCGTGAGATCTAGGCTGAAAAGGCAGAAAATAAGCATAATTTCGTGGTCGAATATTGCATTTAATCACTGTTAAAGCAGTCAGAGAAATAACTGGATCATTCTGACTCGCAATAGAGCGCGTACCCGCTTTAAAAAAACACTGCACTTCTTTGACTGATTCTTATTTACTTTCTTCTAATGGTTCTCTACAGCGTCTCACCCTTCGATCCACGCAATTGTATTCCTTTTTATTGGAATAAAAATACACACTTTATACATTACAGCTACTCGAGTTATTCTATGTCAAATAGAATAAGCTGTTTTCAACCTACAGCACAAAGGTAGCCCATGAGTGCTTACGTGACAGTATGCACATCACGAGTGAGAAAGAGGAAGCTGTAATCCAGACGCAAATTTTTTTTCTCTAAATAAATTATAGGTCATTGTATAGATTTTCAAGAATAAAAATAATTTATATAAATATATATCAATATATATTTATTAATTTAGGTTTTTCTCATGATAAAAATGAATTTATTCGTTAAGGTATATTCCAACTCGACCATAAATGCACCCATTTTTATGTACCAGCCGGTACTCAATCCTGACAATCGTTATATGTTCAGAGGTAATTGATAGCTACGTATAGATAATACAGAGTCCGACAGGGAAATATAGATGATTTTATCCTCACGCCACGAAATGGGGAGAAAACCTAGGAAGATGAAAAAAAGGATATATATTTTTCAAGAGACGTCATTTCAGTAGCTATATGGAGACCTGTTAGACAACGCATCATGTGTGTTTGTGAACAACACGTTCCTTGGGAAGACTTTTCGTAACGCATTTCAACGTTGGCTGTCAAGGTGGTGTTCCGAAGGTCCAGCCAACTTTGAAATGATTCTGGAAACGTTTTAATAACATTACGGATCGATTGGATAAACGTAAACGTGTTTTACACAAGCACAGGACGCTTTATCGACTACGTTGCCATTGCTACCGGAATGGCGTCTATTAAATGAAACACCCCCAATTTTTACACCCCATCTTAACCCCACCTCAATTGGCGTGACGGATAAATCTTTCATACTTCCTCACCCTTGGCCCTGTGCTTAATTATTAATTTAAATAAACGATAACTAATGTTTCATTTTAGAATTATTTCAAATACTTACTCAGGCAATATGGAATACCGACGAAGGTCCATGAGTTGTTGCTACACGTGTTGATGAGCGTTTGGCTGTCCCGTGTCACATTGCAGGACACGTGGCCGCCCTCGGTCTGCCAGTAGGACGTGTTTTGGTAACCCATGCAAAGGATGTCGGAGGCGCTTCGGCCATCGCCGGAATCCCCCGAAAGTAGGTATGAGGTGTTGGGGTAGGAGATGCTGTTGCAAGTGTAGTAGATCACCGTCCCATTCACGAACTCTGAAGTCCAGTTGCTCTTAGGAGGTGCTGTTGCAAGTGTAGTAGATCACCGTCCCATTCACGAACTCTGAAGTCCAGTTGCTCTGCCAGTTGGTGTTGGGCGCAACTGCGGGTCCTGGGCACGCTGTACACACGTGCACAGATAGGTAAGAATTTTGGCAGCTTAATAGCCCGATCGTCATACCTCTACTCATCTTATGCATATAATTTTTCTTTTTGTTTATCACTAAAGATGTCATTTCTGTGAGCACCCTAGTGAAGCAATTTTTTACTTAACAAATTATTGAACAGTATATATAGTATTTGACTTCTCACATCGTAGTCTAGCATAAAAAGTTGACATTGATGAAATTTAACGGGTGGAACGAACGACGAAGAAATATGATGAATTATGATGTTAGATGGGGCGCAGCCGTAGGCCACAAATTTTACTCTTAAATAAGCCCTGGAGCCAACGCCTAGCTTCACCACGCATTAACTTGACTCAGCCTCAGAACTAGAAGCCGCAGACTACGCTTGAACTCTGTAATGCAGACAAGAGACACACTGCCGAAAGATAATAGCGCCTTAGGTCTTCAGCCAATGCTTAAGCATGATCGCGCATAAGCAGACAGTTCCCCATCCGGCTGTACCTACTCCGGCCTAACCTCTTCTGGCCTAACCTATTCACGCTGTCCCGGCTAACAACTTTCAGGCAGCCAATATATATGACTGTCTCTACCAGCACACTTGGACCGCCTTTCTAACTTCTTGCAGCCAATGAGGTTAGGTTAGGTTCGCTCAGGTTTGTATCGGGTGGAGAAAGGTAGCAGCTTGTATAGGTTAGGCCTGACGAGGTTAGGCCTGGTTAGGCCAGATGAGATTTGGCCAGATGCAGTATGGCCATGTTTACCTTTGGCAAGCTTATTTTGTGGCTGTGGACATCCGGCGCTATGGCTTTGAGCACTTGACTTCATTGGCAGTTTGCACTCTAGCGTTCTTACCTATGGAAAGGAATATGAACTAAGTGTGAAGTGTGGCAAAGCTGGCCTCCGGCATGCGCCCCATGTTAGGTAAGATGAAGCCAATAAAGCGGCGTTGGGCTCAACCAATGAGGTAGTATTGTGTCTTGCCCTAGTGTATAGACACAATTCAGTATCCATAATGTGAAATGAATTAGTTACTAGAACATCCATCCACTCACAATCTAAACATTTGAACCTTCTTGAGATTTTCTCGATGGTTTCGTTAGTGGAGGAGGTGACGTTCCAGACTGAGCCGGGCTGACACTGCAGTTCTATGTAACGTTCACCCAGCAAGCTGGCGGTGTTAGGGGGGCAGTTGTAGCGTATTTTCTCGTACTCTCTGAAGCCTTCGTTCTTTGCTCTAATCGTGTTGTTTATGGTCTCTGGTGGGCTGTTGCTGTTGCAGGCTGGAAATGAAATTAAAGTTGAGATTTTACGAAGGTATTTCCTACCAGTTTTGTCGCGCAATCGGAGTCAAATACCTGAAATTGGAACTGTCATCAGAGGTTTTCACTTATGTGTGTAAAAGCAAAGATTGTGTAAAACCAAGTGTAAAATCTAAATCAAAATTCCCAACTATTTAAGCAGCGGGGTCTTCTAAATGCAATTTTCGTCTAAATGCAATTTTCGTTTGCTAGAGGTTTTATTGGAAGGACCCTTTGAGAAAGAGGTGTTAAAAGGAGTGGTGTCTAAGGACACCCTAGATTTGTAAAAGGGTGACGCTCCTGCATGACCACTGCTATCCATCAGCAAGATGTATAAATAGTAGAAAGACCTCTACCGTTATGATAAAATAACTTAGTTACTTATTTCATCATACATTGAAACTGTGAAAACTGTCGCTTTAATTAAATGCTACTTTTCTGCTACTCTGTAGGTAGAAATTATGAAATGGCTAATTGTTGAGAAACTGGAACGCAATTCCTCTATATCGATACGCAGCGAATAAAATTCCAGGTACACCATTTACTATCGAACATTCATTCTCAATTTTTAGTTGGGTCTGTTATAAAAACAACGCTTTTTCGAATACTGTTGACCATTTAAAATCTAGGAATTCGTTTTACGTCTAAATAAACTCACGGACGCTGCAGGTTCTGTAAAACTCTTCGAAAAAAGTCCATGTTCCATTGACACACGTGATATTCAAAGTTGAATTCATGTTCCCGAAGATTTCATTGTTGGGACACGAGTACGTCACCTGGGTGCAGAGGACGTAGAACATTACATGGAAGAGATGCAACATCCACAAAAGGTTCGATGTAACAGCCTTTGATTATAATAGACATTGTTTCAACCGAAATAATGTATTTTTTTTCATCAATTGAGCAAGTTTTCAAATAATATCACTTTTATTAGATTTATTTCTGTCCCAAAAATTAAACCGTGCCTTAAAGAGACAAAATATTTTAAACTTTTATTTCTGTTGCTTGATGGATGGGTTCCATGATTTTTCTGTTACAGAGAAATACCCAGATACACCTCGAAATTTTAACTAACACTTATTTGGTGTTATGTATTCTCCTAGCAACAGCTAAATGTGGGCATTAGATAGAAGCAAGGTTCACACAAATGCAATACCTAGCGCCTAATAATCCTAATGAGACGTTAATATGGAAGTCCTGTTCTCAAATAATTCCGCTCAGCTGGACTGAAGATACTCACTGTTGTTCCATTAATACGGGTGTAGTTATTCCAGCTGGAGTTAGCGGAACCGATGGGGGCCGGAGGCTCGTCCGTGCAAACTGATCCATGAAAAATATCGAACTTTCAGGTTGTTCAGCGAGATAGAATTTGATACTGAGCTACAATTCACAAGTATTTAACGCTATTAAATATCAAAGGGTCTGGAAAATGTATTGACCACTAGTTTTTGATTACATCTCAGTTTACTAACTTGGTGATACAAGTCCACCGAGCGTGGTGCCTAAAGCCATAGTAGCTACTGTCAGTTTTGCGTGCTATACCGGCTTAACGCTGTCAGCGTCAAAAAGTTTCAGAACTTATACGTTATAACCATTAACACTTCAAAACTGATTTTAATGACTGTGGTTATAATTATTCGTATTATCAACATGAGTTAAGCGTTAATTATGCAACATGTACACTTGCACAGCGCTACATTATCTCGTACGATAGGGGCTGCACTTATTGCACTACCTGCAATTCTTTGGGAACTTCGTGTCCTATCCAACGAGTTCTTCTTAACTAGAACATTTGAACTTCACCACGGTCGAAGAAACACCTCAAAAGACAGCCCAGCAGAAAATACTGAAGGCTATTAAGTTTATATGAAGGGGACTTAACCAATAACCAGAGAGCAGGGAAGTCCATCGGAAAAAGATCGCGAAAGCTTCACCACACAATGTTTAATGTCAAAAATTAGAAACTTTACAAACCACTAAATTACTGACTAACCGTTGATAATATAAACTATTCAGATAAATGATAAAAATAAACTATTCAGAATAAATATTTAAATACTTTTTTATCATTTATTTTATAAATAATAAAAACAAACTATTCAGAAAGATAATTTTCGCTTAGTTTAAAGATAAATACCGACTGAACAAATAACGTCTTCGTACTCACTCGTGACGCACTGAAGGTCGTCACGGCCGTAGGTCCAGTTGCCATCATCACAAGTAACGGTCACGGCCGTCGAGTTACCCGGGAACTTCTGAAGAGGTCACAATATTGCCTCACGAATAAGTCAATCACCAACAACTTTTTACTAGCGTTTAGTTGTTTAGTTAGTGAATAATCGAATTAGAGTGCGGATTCAATTATACGTTTCCTCTCAGGCAATTGAACGTTGAATTGGAGCTCGGGTATTCACAAATTACTGTATTGACTAATGACTATTTGATAATAGATATATTTTGACTTGGAATAGGTTGAACGAGCTCTAGACGCTACCCACTCTAGAGCTCACCCACTCTAAAGCTCGCGACACTATCCACTCAATGACGTTCATAGTCCATCCGAAACAACATTTGTTAATCGGTTTTACAATAAAGTTGCATAGCTTCAAATAGGGTTAAATCAAATTGTTTTCTCTGTATTAAAGAGAAATACATTGTTACTTCGACTTACGATCTCTATTCCTTCCGTGACTGGATTCGTACAAGGAAATGTTCCTATGTGGAAGCAATATTGGTATTTAATGTTTACTGACACAATTGAATAAAATACACTCGGTTCTGAAATCGGTTCTGAATCGCAATTCAGAATCGGTTCTGAAATTCGCACAAATAATCGGTTCTGAAATTCGTTTTGCAAGAAGAGACATGTCCGTATGTGGAGGAAAAAAATCACGAACCTCGCTCGTATCTGGGAAAATTTGCCAGTAGAGCTTAGCCCGGTATTGTTCTTAAGTCGAAGTATCACTGCTGTATGCACGGTAATGCATGACATACCTCGGTCGTGTTCAGATAATATCCATCATTGCACGAGTAGGTTACGATGGTGCCGACAGAATTTTCTGTTATATTAGGAACAGACATTTCGGTCCCCGCCTCTTTAATTGGTTCTTTGCACACTGAAAACACAGAAAATAAG